TGTGTTAAATTGTATAAGGCGCTTGAGACTTAATAATTAACTTTACGGACGGATGCTTAAAAGGAAAACGATATGTGAAGAAACTATGTCGTTTACGCTTAACTTTATGAAATATAAAACCTCATAGCAAATGTATGCATTGTTTCTTAGACCTATTTATGCTTACGTAAATAACCAAAGAAACAAAAACTTGAAAACTAATTTTTGTGAAAGAAACTTGATAGGCAGATAGAGGTAAATTGCGTTAAAATATATATTAATTTTATGACGGCATAAAAATAGCGCATTTTGAAAACATGCCTGATTTTTATTAGAATTACGTTAATCTAGATCCAAAGAGGAAAAATTGTCAAAGGAATATGAAAAATTACAACGAATTTTAGACAGTACTTAACATTTAACTATATATACACAGATATGGGATATACGTAACTACAGATCGGTAGATAGATAAATAAATATACACGGAGAGAGAGAGAGAGATAGAGAGAGAGTGAGAGAGAGGGAGAGGGAGAGGGAGATTGAGAGAGAGAGAAAAAAAGAGATTGAGGGAGAGAGAGAGAGAGAGAGAGAGAGATGAAAAAGAATAACTCGAAGTCGTATTATATTATTCAAATAAAAGTGTGAAAGTTGTTAAAGTTTGATTTAGGTCATGAATAAGATAACTTAACGTTTTTTTCTCCGCAGTTAGAAGGTTTTTTAATGCCAACCAGCTGAACATTAATCCCAAGATCTTACCACCTGGCATCGCGTGTAAGACTAAATTTAATCGGTCAGAGTGCACATTAACGTGCGTACCTCACAAGGGTGACTAGCGAGAGCATAACTCCGAGAGATAGAACATAACTAATGAAAATATTTAGGTTTCCGCCTCTGTTGAATCAATAAGTCAACCACAACTAAAGACAGAAAATTGAAAATAAAATGAATCTTCTACATTCTATTCCAGATAATTTTAGTTTAAATAAAAATGTTATACATAAAATGAACATTGTTTATGGTTGTTATGGGTTATTTTGTAATCTTGAATTTCAAATATGATTTTATTTATTTCTTTTTTATATTTAAATTTAGTTTTTCAACTAGATCAGTTATGAGCTTCATACTAAGCATGAAATTTCATAATAATTAGATAATCTTTTTTTAATTTACAACATAATAAACTTTAGGCAAAACACATACACACAATCAAATAAACACACATAAAGTAATGTATTAACTATACGTTGCATAATTTCAATTTTTTTCACTTTTTTATGTATTTCGGATTTTGGAAAAATTTATGATAAACAATTTGTATTTCTCAGTCAAAAACCTTTTAAAAATATTATTCACACAAATGATTCATGTGATAATTATTCTTGTGACAACAGAATTGTGCTTTAAACAGATTTGCTTATTTGGTTTAACCAATGATCGCTTCTATACAAAACTTTTAAGAAATATCTTTATCTTAGTGACTTGAAAGGAAACTGCAAACAAAAATGACCTCTAGAATTCCTTTTACATAGCAAATCTACTACAATTCCTCGATATACCACTAAAACAAGTTTTGTTAAGACTTTAAGTCTGTCTATGTCGGTTTTTCTTCTTTAACAAATCCTTTTGACAGTAGAGTTGTTCAGGAACCTCCATAGTTGTTTTTTTCTAACAGTTTTTCGAAAATAATAAGCAATCTGTGCCCCTTCGAAACCAACTCCCAGAACGCGGTATCGGCAGTTCAGGGCTGATTCTCGTCCCATCGTGCTCTGTTTAGAGAGGAATGCTGAGCTGGAGCGCCTAAGAAAAACGGTGGTATTCTCCTGGGTACCTGGACACGTTGGGTGGAGGGCAACGAACGTGCAGACGAGACGGCCAAAGCTGGGACGTCTCGCTCTCCAGACCGAAATACCACGATCCGGACCGGTGACGCTATCCGAGCAGTAAAAAAATGCTGCGAGAGAGCGTTGGCAGCGAGACCGGGTCGTCCAGAAAGCTCCTCCGAGTTTAGAGCACGATTGAACAATGGCCCTTCGAGTTTCTGAAACGAAAGGGAAAGGTACTAGCCCAATTGATGATAGGCCACGCCCGTCACTGTGTCACAATCAGTGAAAGAGTCCTTGTCTTATAGAGAGCTAGTAGGCATGGCACCCGAAAAACAGTCCTTGGGCATGAAAGTAGCTTGTTGGGACTCCTGTTCCGATTTTTAAATGAAACTGTTTTACCATATTTAATCTGCAAACATTGTATGTATAAATTATTTATCGTATATATTTTTGTTATACAGTTTGTACGAATGTAGTTGTGCACTTGTATAAATATGTGAGAAGGCCGATGGCGGAATTTCGACTACCTCATCAGCCTTCAGAATGCCTGGAAGGCTGATATGGCTCCAATGTGGTAGCCTTTTAGCACTTTGGGGGGAAAAACAATATGAAAAGATTTAACGATTACCCATCTTGTCATCGTAACATAATCATCTCTAATTAAACAAAGTTAGCAAGATTGTAGGCTTGAGGTAGTGCAGAAGATCGGGGAAAACATACCATTATTAAATCTTGACGTTTCGTATTAAGTTCCATAAAGTATAAAGCTATTAAAAAAAAATTGTTGCCAGTTGAAATTCCGATCTGATGAAGCATTGGATATCCCATGTTTTAGTTGAGGTATTGCATGCTAGCAGATCCAAAGCCCATTTCGGCAAGGACGTCGGCTTTCTAGTTTCGCAGATGTCACGGTATCCTGCTTTTAACCCTATGTCCATAAGTAATTTAAAAAAACACTGATCTCTATAATAATAAAATAACTATAATCACTATGCATATTATTTTTATACAATTAGTTTTTTAACAGAATTTATTTGAAACTTCTTTCACTTCGTAGAATAAGCTAAAAGCGACCATAATCACAATCTCGGGTAATCTTGTGTGTCCTCTTTATCTCCTACACCTTTGAATAATAACAGTTTTTTTTGTTTTTTTTTGGATGACCTATTTTTATTGTTATTTATTTTGTATATTCTATTGTGATTTCCTTCATTGATTAATCGAATGCGGTATATCACTGTTTTTATCATGACCCCAAATTAACGGTATAATTTAACTTTGAAAGACTTTTATAAGAATGGGGAGTTTAATTGTTGTCCCGTTCGAATCGCTCTTCTGCTTATCTCAAATAATGACTTATTGAAACAGACATTTTTTGTTACTTTTTTCTTAATTATTATCAGAGTCTGTTGAACCGTAATATGAGTAATTCATCAAATTTTACTTATTTAAACAAGAGATTTCTAACGGAGTACATATTTTTTAATCAAATGCACTTATTAAAAGCGTTTGACATTAGCACCAAAATACAATACCATTTATCTTCATGAATACTACGTGTGCGCGCGCGCGTGCGTATGTGTGTGTGCGCGCGCGTATGTGTGCGCGCGTGCGTGTGTGTGTGTGTGCGCGCGCGCGCGTGTGTGTGTGTGTGTAGAGAGAGAGAGAGAGTGTGTGTGTGAATGAGAGGAAGGGAGTGATTTAGTGACAGACAAATCGTGGGAAACAGAGTGACAAAATGATACTACAGATCATACAAGCCAGAGACAGAGGGTGTGAGTGAGTGGGGAGGAGTAGAGGGGATAGTGAGAGAGAGAGAGAGAGAGAGAGAGAGAGAGAGAGAGAGAGTGAGAGAGAGAGAGAGAGAGCAAAAGACTAAAAGAGAGCGTGAGATGATGGGGTGATGGAGTATCAGACAGAGAGAAGTAAGAATTGGAGACATGTTTGATTTTTTGTGTTTGTATTCTTAGATATTTTCTATTATTATGTCTGTAGTTGAATAATTGTCAATCATAAATTAATTTATTTTAAACAGCAGAAATTTTGAAATTTTTTATAACAATGGTCAAATGACAAAGAGGCCATTTTAAAGATGTCTTTAGCCCTGTGAAAGCGCGCTATGTTTTATCCTAAGAATAAACTTTTACTCTTTTTAGAAATTACTTTTTACTGCAATAACTTAAAAGATTATCATTAGTTTTAATTTTGCGAAGTATGTTCTACATAAATCTACAAGAGTGAGAAAGAACGTATAAACAATGAAGCGATATATTAATCAGTGGATTTTTTTTCTTTGTTCTTGCTGTCGAATCTCCGCGATAGTTGAACAATGATTGATTTCATGGAGATTGTACTATCGTTGACCTTTTACATTTTGACCTAATCAGAAAATTTTTTCATTGCGAATCGACCGGTGAAACATTTCAGGGCCTTCTTCAGATAACGTTTCAGCGCGTTTGACAGAATAATAGAGGAATGCTATCTTTAATAATTATTTTGTTTAGTTTTGTTTTTCAAAAACTAAAGTAAACCATTTTGATGTTTTTAAAAAGATAGTTCCTACTCATAGTTAGTTGTTTTCAATGATCCGGATTTTGAGTTTATAGCTCATCGTCAGGTTCTACTGTAGAACTCGTTTAAGCTGATGATGTGCTGTAAGCTCGAAATCGGGATCGTGGAAAACAACTCACTATGAGCAGGAACTATCGTTTTTAAAAAGAATGAACAACATACTCACTCCACCATTTATTATTTCTATAATTCATTTTGTGTTAAAATGTTGATTTTTGCCTGTTTTGCATTATTTTTACATATTTGTTTTCTGTTAAATTATGTATTACATGAAATAAATAAAGTTTCATTATGAAAGGATCGACAAATTGTAAAATTAGGATAGAGAAATTAGTAGAAATGTTATAAAATAGGATTGAGTATGTGAGGGTCGCGGTTCTGAAGATGCTTGAAAAACGTCCAGGTCGTCTATAATATAATGTTTATTTTTAAAACAAGTCGCAATAATATATTTCCCGCTTCCGTTTCATAGGCGCAAAAATCGATTTTGTCGTTGGCTTTGTTTGGTTTACTCGGTTGCCCGTTGTTACCAAGGTGGAAGGAAATTCTCACAAATTAAACAAGCTTAAAAAGATTTAAAAATAGTCAAAAATTTGTTAAACTATTTTAAACAGCGATACTCACTCAAAACACGTACCGCCTTTCCGTGACATTCTGAAATGGGAGTTTCACACAGAAAATTCCTTTTTATCTATCCGAAACTCGACAAAATCCGCGTGTCGTTCTTGTCACGCACTGGCACTCGGTCAGCCATTCACTGGCCCTTCTTGGCTCTATAATTTCTCTCTCTCTCCGAGTTCAAGTATTTTCAGACGTATGATTTAATAATAGTCCAGACCCGTTTGTATATCTTTAAATGCAATATTTTAACGAATTAAAACGATTTGTTTAAACTTTGTATGTTTTTTTTGAAGTACAAACTAATTAAAACTATTTTACCGTTATACTTGAATTTTAAAAAAGAAATCTGTCACAGCAAAGACAATACACCTAAAGTTTCATGTTTAAAAGTTCTGCCGTTTTCTTTTAATATTATTCAGATAATTTTGTCAGCAGACGCCACAAAACAGAGCGTTGCATTTTATGACTTCCTTTAATTGCTTTTTTCTATGTTGTCGTACGTTACGATTTGATAAATTCGACCTTTGTTTAAACAAATATTTTAAAAACCTCTTTCCTATGACATAATAACCTTGACCCATGTTAAAATAGAAGCGACCAATGTTTTGTTTTTTCCTGAACGTCGACTACCGTTCCCTATTTACGGGTAGGATGGGATACTAAGACCAAATATATCGCCGGCTTAATTTGCAAACAACTGTCTTATTAGGAACCAATGGGTAAAAAAAGTCATAATGTTTAAACGCAATTTGACAAATATGGCATTTTCACACAGTAAAGCTTAAATACGCCGTAAAAGGTAGAGAAGCAAAAAATATAATTTTATAATTACACACAATATAGTCATTATAGACTTTTTGAAAGTGTGATAATGTAAAGAAGAAAAAAAATATTAAGATTAGGGAAGAATGATAGAGTTAGAGAAAAAGAAATAGATAGATAAATAGAGAGAGAGAGAGAGAGAGAGAGAGAGAGAGAGAGAGAGAATTAGAGTGAGTGAGTAAGTGAGAGGTAGAGAAACAGATTCAGCAAAGGGGAAAAAAGAGAGAAGTGAATGAGACAGAGAATGAGTTAGTAAGTGATTGAGTGGGTGAATGAATGAATTAATACCGTTTTATTCAGTGTCACAGTGACAGAGAGAGAAAGAGAGAGAGAGAGAGAGCGAGAGAGATTGAGTGAATGAATGAATGCGGTTTTATTTAGTGTCGTAGTGAGGGAGGGAGAAAATGATATTTATATTTATATACACGCAAAAGTTAGGTCTCCAGGACCTTTCTTACACTTAACGTGTAATTACAATTATACTATTTGTTTATAGTGGCAACAGAAATAAAATTGAATAAAAAATTATTATAAAATCAACAATGAACTAAATGAATAAAGTGAGAGTATGTTGAACTTATAAGTTATATTTTTATACAGAGCATTTTATACAGTCATACAGTAACAAAATTAGATATAGGTTTTTCGTAAGATTCTTAAAAATTAGATGAGAACCTTCTAGGATTGAAACATAATTTTACAATTTAAAAATGAAGTAAAATATTAATAAAATGATTATTAACGTCTAACAAGTTAATGTAAAAGTATATTATAAAAATAGAATAATAAAAATAATAAATAAAAGCATATAAGTATATATCATGTTAACTACGTAAATGTTAAATAAGGTAAATGCTGATTTGTAGTATTATACTCAACATATTTACTTAATAAGTATTCTTTAAGTTTTACTTGGAATGATTTTATGCTTTTTATTTGAATTATACGTTTCGGTATTGAGTTAAAGATTTTTGAAGCTTTTATTTCTAAATGAATTACTAAGTGTTTTTTTTCTGTGTTTTGGTGGAGGAAGAGAGAAAGAAGAGAGACAGAGAAAAGAGTCATTTTTTTATTAAATATAATATTGAAAAGAATGCTCAAAAGTACTGGCAAATTAGAAATTATGAATTGAAAAAAAGTTAATAAATACAGAAAACATTGTGAATGTTGAGTTTGTAAACTACATTTAGCGAGTATTTTAAAATTATTTCAATAGGAAATTTTAAAACAGCCACTAGATTTTATTGAACCTTTAACACAATTTCACCAATTTCGTGGTCCGCTTGACCAATTAATATATTACAATTAATTAAGGTTTTTTAGTTGAGATAGAAAAGTCAATGGCACGAGCGGGATTCGAACCCACGATCTCCAGCTAGATACGCCCCTGCTCTACCATTTGAGTTATCGTGACCTCGATCCACTCGGACACTAACTTCCCATCTGAACCCCACCTTTTGAATTTTACCTCCTTTTTGCCATTTTTCAATTCGATTCAATTTTTTCAATTGTGCCATTTTTCAATTTCGAATCCCGCTCGTGCCATTGACTTTTTTATCTTAACTAAAAAACCTTAATTAATTGCTTCAACACAATATTTCATCCGAAAATAATATCAGTAGTCAGAGTCTAAAAGTTCAGACACTTCAGATACCACGTTATTTTCATTGTACACAATATTCCACTTGTGTTTCAAATTGTTTCAAGATAGTTTCGACACACGTCGAAAAATTTCATCAATTACTACTTATTTTGACATAATTCTAGTTTCTATTGAGTGGATAATACGATATATTTCTCTTCTTCAATTTATTTACTAATATACTGTTTTGGGCTCTTTTTGAGGATGTTTGTAATGTAAACATAAAATGATAATTGAATTGGGTGTAATATGTGAACACCAATTTAGTAAAACTGAACCAATTATTGACTATTTTGTTGTTCATGGTGCTGATAAATTTGCGAGTAACATCATGTGTCATGTGAAATTTTTTCTCTTTTCATTTTAAAAATTTGAAACTTTATGACTAATGCTCAGAACATGTACGGTAAATCGTAGTTGGTCAATACAAAGGACTTTACAAACAAATGCTTTTTAAGGAGACAGAAAATTTCAAGGACAACTGTGTGAATCGAACCGACGACCGCGTCTATGTCAAATCGGGAGGAAAATTACTATTTCGTGTGAAATGAAAGAAACACTACTTATATTCACTATGGCTGGACACATTATGTTTGTTTATTACAAATAGTTGTTTGTCCTGTAAACAAACAACTGGAATTTTATAGAATTGACTGCATGGCTATCGAAAAACCGTTATCCGGGAGGGTTACTGCCCATTATTTTCCAGTTATCTATTTTATTTTACACAAATATGGATACTTTGTGTAAAACACATTTAATGTAAAAAAGAAGGCTGGTAAGGCAAGATATATTAAAAATCCAAATTGATCTATATACTACAGTATTATACTAATGGAATAATAATAAATTTATTTTTTATTAAGACTATTATTAAATTTAGAATTTTTTATGTACTATTTTATTTAAGATTAATGCGAAAAAATTAGCAAAAAATCAAAACTAATTACGAATGAAAAACTGTAAAGTTTATAGACCTAAAAAGGCATTTAAAATCTTTATTGTTTATAACAATACCTAACAAATTTATATTTTATAAAGGCTTAATATTTTTAAAATTATTTGATCTACGTCTGTTAAACAAACGTTGCTAAGAAAATTTAAAAAACTAAGGAAAATAGNAGCAAGATATATTTAAAATCAAAGTTATCTATAATAATACCTAAAAATATATATATTTTATTAAGACTTAACTTTATATTATTTTATGTGCCGTGTTATCTATGATTTTGCAACAAACTTTGCTAAGAAAATTAAACAAAAAAGGAGATATTTATAGACATTTAAAAATAAAAATTATCTATAATAATACCTAATAAATATATACTTTATTAAGTCTATTATTATTTTTTATTTTTTGGGCTCTATTTTGTCTACGTTTAGGCAAAAAATGAAAAAAAATTAAATTTGCATAAAGGCCTGAAGAGAAGTTTTAAACTAAACTGCACAAAAATGAATAGGAATATTGCCAATTTTGAAGTATTTACTTTCTCTAGCATTTTTATTTTATTTTTTATTATAAATAGCATTAAAATTTCTTAAAAATTATTGTTTTTTTTTGTTTTGATTGAAGATTGATTTTGATTTTTTTGAAATAAAAGGTTTTAATTCCATAATTTTGTTTATTGGGCAAAAATTTTTTAACTAATTAATACCGTGTATAATGTCACCTGTTAGCCAAAATCTCTGTGGACCTATTAGGCATATTGTTATTAAGGTAGTCACTAATTTCATAAGGAATTTCACTCCACAGATGTTGCAACGTGCACTCAGTTGCTGCAAGTCAACTGGCTGCGGATGATGGAAAAGCCTTCTCTCCAACGCATCCCATTTGTGCTCAATGGGATCGAGGTTTGGGGGAATGTGTAGATGGGAAATTCCCAGAGTTTATAAACATTGATGAACAACTCTCTCTACGAGGTCTGGCATTGTCATCCAGACATCTAAAAATCCCTGCGAATGAGATCCCTGGTTTGAGGGTGGTATTCCTCGATAATTTCTTGGACATAACGGACTGCGTTGTGGTTGCCTTCGACAATATGAATTCCAGTTCGTCCTCCAGTATAAATCCCAGTTACTACCTCTTTGAAACTGCACTGAAGGGAGCACGAATTTGGGCATTGTAAGCATCCTCTGTTCTCGGTAGACTCTTCGGCGCCTGCTATCACTAGTCGCGACTCATCAGTAAAAATAACAGCCTCAATTTGTGTTGTCTTCTAGGTGCTCGCTGCACCACATTCTCCTGAGTTGCTGGCGGCGAGCTATTTCTTCAGGTCGTCTCAAAGTGATGTACGATGTGAGGCCATCTTCCCACAAACGATTATCGTTTGTGTTGATAAAGGCCTTGCCAAAACATCTTGTACTTCATTTAAGATCTGCACTATAGAAATGGTTTCGTCTTGCAGAAATGACATTATTTCTGTCCTCCCTTAGCGTCGTTATGCGCTAACATCCACTACCAGGCCTCATATTTGCACAAAATTCCACAAAAGAGGATACATCTTAAAATGAATCCTTAATGAGTCCAAAACCTGGTGGAACAATACCTCAGGTGAGGCACGCGAAGAGATTCATAAAAGGGCCATTTTGCAAAAGAATTACTGGAAGGCAACCGCAACCGAACCAGGATTCTGCTTGG